GATTACCAGTATTTTTATTTTTGCCATCAAATGAAATTTCATTGAATCCATAAAATAGCGTTGCCTCAGTGGTCTCATAGGAGGCTTATCCAGGACCAGAAAACAGAACAGTACTACTTGAAAAGAGGTCAGTAGCTAAAATGTGGGCAAGAGAGGGAGGTGACGTTTGCACCTAATGGCTGATTCTCATCATCTTTCTCGTCTTCTTATGATTATTGCAACCCAGTTAGCTGCCTCATTGTCTAGCCTGGAGATTGCCTCAATCTGCTGCAAGTCTTAGGCCTTCCCTGACTGCAGTTGCTTCAGCATGTAATACCAAATAACTATGATGTGATCCCCTTGATCCCACAACAACCTCTCGAAATCCATTTCCGATGATTAGAGTTCCAAAAACTGCTTCCCCAGAGTTTGGATATATTCATAGGAAGCATCACAGTTTTATCTTGAATGTGCCAACATCCAGTGGCTTCCATATTGCAGGGATATGATCCTGTTCTTCCTTCTCTGTTTGGGCCTTTCCTGGTTGCTTTTGACTTGTACGAACTCTTGGAAGGCAAGTCGAGTGGGCCAGATTCCTTGTATTCATAGACAAGTTCACATCCGTATTTCCAGATACCCCACCAGATGGAAGCAATCAGAGTGAGGAGTTGCTGGGAGCTTCTTTGTCAAACAATTTTCCAATGCCATCAAATGCTGAGATGCTAGTTTTGTTTAGGTGTGCTGATACTAAGTCTCTCACCCCCTTTTTTTTTTTTTTTTTTTAATGAGAAAATTTTTTATAATTCTGACCATTTCGAACCGTAAAACACTAAGTTGACGTTTGAGTTGATAAAAATGGAGTGAAGAGGAAGGGGAAGGAGAGAAATTAATGCCTGGACATCTTGATCTTCTATTTTTTTCAAATCTAAAACTAAAACACGTCTTCATCTAAGCAACAAAATTTTATTGAGTCGAACAAGCATTTTCTCTTAGGAGACCATTCAATTGAATCATTAGCCTTTTTCGCATCAAGCTTCATTAAACAACACTTATATTTAATTTTCTAGATAATTTCCGACCATAATAATTGATAATATCTAAGACATTGAAAAATGATTAAGAGACAATATATTTTTGTACAATTTTTTTTACATAACTTTATATATTATTTAATAATTATTGCTTTTTAATCTATTAATACCCATGATGATACGCATAATTATGATATTCATAGTGATTATATTATATCCATCCACTAATTTAATAATATATAAAAATTACATAGGGAAACTTTATAAAAATTGTCTACATATCCTAAGGTTTAATTTCCTACCTCATTATAGAAATCTTTGGATTGTTATTTTTGTTTTTCTTTTTTATTTTCTCGTTATTTAAATTATATATGAATATTGATATTGTTAATAGATGATACTTTGACTTAACAGTAGAAGATTACTTCCTAAATTTATCTCTAGATTTGTTAATCCTCCTAAATGGAGATTTGGTGTAAATAATCATGTAACTTTTTAAATATTTTCTAATTAAGGATATGACATTTTTTGTTATTAATTGAAATTATCACCTTTCAAAAGTTTTTAGTTAAGGATATGAATCTTGCAATTTTTTTAATAGAGAATTAAGTAGATATGTAAGGTCATATTATTGATTATAAATTTTTTAAAAAGTGATACCTTTGATTAGTAAAATTGTAAATATCATATCCTTTATTAGAAACTTTTGAATGGTAATAATTTTAATTAATAAAGAAAAAATGTCAGAAAATTTTGAAAGGTTGTATCTTTATCTATGCTAAATCTCTCATCTTTTTCATTAGTTTGCATTTCTAAAATTTTTGTTGATTTTTATATGGGACCTTGCTGGAACTCCATCTTATTCTCAATTTTTGTATGAATTTTTCCTCTTCTTGATTTATGATTTTTATTTTAAGGTGGTATTTCACCTGGAGGTATTGTCAGATCTTTGTTCTTTTATTTTATTTTTTTCCAAATCGTAAATAGTTTATCGAAGCTAATTTAATGATTTATTGATTTGTTTTTTAAAAGATTTGTCTTTTTAGAAATGGTCATTTATAGATTAATGACTAATCTATAGAAAATGGAAATGAAAAGGCAAGAGCACTAATTTGGAAGGATTATCTACAATCAAGAATGATTGAGCATCAAATTGGAAGGATTATTTACAATCAAGAAAGATTACTTATAGGGAGGTTGCAGGAAGTAACTTTTTACTTTTTTTAGAAAGGTTTTGCTTTATATTTTCTCAATTAATTAAGTCTACATTTGGACTACATTAATTCGTTAATTTCAATGGGGACAACATGACTAAATTGAATCATTATTTGTGGAAAATTATTCGCAATTTTGGTGACTCAATGAGTTTTTCATCTTTTAACTTCCTCTTTTTTAAGGGAATCCCTGTCTTGTCTTGATTGTTTGTATCATTTTGAAACAAAGTATCTCTGATACTTTGTTCTCTCCCTCCCTTTCTTCTTCTTCCAATTTCCTCGATTATGTTTTAGGGTTTAGCGATCGCAGTTCACAGCAACACCTCTAATCCCTCCAAAATCACATCTCTGGTAGTTTGTGTTCTCACGTCAGAGGACAGTTAAGAAAAGGCGAGGAAGTGAATTGGAGGAAAGAAATTAAGAGAAGATTAAGGTGTGTTGATGATCATCCTTTTCTCTTTACCGAGAGGGGACAGAGCTAACATAACCTCCCAAGTTTTCTATTAATTCTGGGGAGGTAAAGATATTAAATTGGATATAAAATTTTTAAAAAAGGGAGAACGTAAGTTACCAAATGTAGGCTCTGCATTAAAGTTTCTTTATAAATTTCCTGATAATTTCTTTGAATTATTGTTATGTCATTGAACTTCCATTTTGGAGACCCTTTGAATATATTGTCATTTAAATATCTGACATAATATAGCTAAAATGAAAAAAAAAAAAACATGCACAAATTCACTCTGAGAAGGAGATAGAGTTAATTTTATGGAGGAAGGAAGAAACCATTGTTGCTAACGAATACAATTTGCGTAATGCATGGTACATGCAGACATTTGCAACCTCATAAGGAGAAAATTTGCGAAATGAATTCAGATTCTTGGTGCCAAAAATCCCAGTTATAAGAAAGCTTCAAAACACTACCTTTCAAGGAGGAAAAGCTCACCTTTTATCAGCTCTTGACTTTAGAAGTTGCTAACAGCAGAAGTAGGAGAAGAAGAACCATTGCCATGGACTTTATCTTCCCTAAACAGCCTTAAAATGGTTATGATTTCAAGGCCTATAAAGATCTGAGAGATGTAAAAGGGAACAATGAGAAAAGCAAGTGGGGCAGAGGACGAGGAAGAAAATACAGAGAAGCTATGACTTGCAATAGAGATAGACAGACAAAGCATTGAGATAATATACATAATTATATATGACCATTTGATTCTCAACAAAAATTGTTCTGGAATTATGCATCTGGTTTGAGTTTATATCCTAGGAATAAGATGGAGAGGATTTTTTGAGGTGGAGAGAAATCCCCAGTACGTTAAAGCCCAATGGATTGATTCATTCCAATGGTAATTCCTTCCAACTCACTCACCAGCAGCATACAAACCAAAATTAGTGAAAAAGAACCAAACAAATACAAGGCTGAGAAGTCGAGAAAAAGAAAGAAAACACATATGAGGAGAAGTGTCTTGGAAATTTTTGTTAAAGGGTAGTGATATGGAAATGATCTTTTTGTACCATTATTCTATACAATTTTTACTAGTTATTAAATAAGTAGATGCATACTATATTACGGACAAACTCCTAAATGAAAACACATAGGGTGGTACAAAAAACTTATCTCTAAATCATTTCTCTTTTGTCAAATACCTTGTGTGGAATAAAGAGGACCTGTTCTCATCAAAGCATCATTAAGGTATATTTGTGGGTCCTCAAACCTAGTGAGAAGCCAATTAAGTCCGTTTACAATACAGTGGTAGAAATTAGAATATTAACAACACATTTTACCTTTTTAGGAGAACCTAATAAAAGTATTCTACAATTAAGTTTGACATATACAGAGGTTCCTATTGAACAACGAATAAACCAATTGAGAAAGAATGATATTTACAATTAATATGGTTATTTGTGCTCAAAATCCAAGTATTGACAACGTGTTTAACTTAATTTCTTAACTAACATGATTGGATTCTTCTCCTCATTCCTTTGTTCTATTACTAGGATTATTTAACAAACATTATCCTAGCATCTTTCTCAAACTGTGACGTTTATAACTAATGAAACCAGCAACACTTACGATATACATAGAAAAGAACTGTTTATTAAGACATTATCCAACCCATAGAAAATAACTGATCCCTCTACCCTAGAAACTAGCAAAATGAAGAGGAAAGGGCATCTTCCTATAGTTCTCCTGTACAAAATCATCTCTAAGGTCTTGTGGAGGAATACTAGTTATGAAGAAAGTTCTTTTTTTTTTTTTCTTTTTTTAAAGAATAAGATTGGTTTTTAGTGTCCATGGTAAGGGAATGACTAGAACAGTACTAAAATACAAAGTTTTAACAACATGGATCTATCTTGCTAAAAGACTCTTGTATGTGGGTAAAAGTGCTTCTATATTGCAAGGCTTGTGGGTGAAGGTCTTGTGGCAGTTGGGTCCCTCAATAACAAAATTAGCGAGGTGGATTGCATTTGATTTGTGGGTGAATATTTCACTTTCACCCACATAGTATATAAGGTTATTTAATGAGCGCTATAGCGCACTTGGCCGGAGTCTTCAAACATAAACAACAAGGTAAACCACGTGAGTGAACCTTCTCTTTCACCCACGTGGACTTTATTATTATCTGAAGGTGCGTGAATGGCTCCATCTGACTTTGACTGACATTGTACATGATATTGTACTTGATATTACAACTAGTTTTATGTGGGTAAATCTTATATTTTACTCATGTAGATTTTATTCCTACATAAAGGTGTGTGAGAGTGTTCTAGAGTCTGTATATTTTATTACCCACAAGGGATACAATGCTACACCAACATTTATCAAAATGTTGAGAATCTGTTATGGGAAAAAAAAAACAACATTTACCCATGTGAGCCAAAATGCTAAATATCTATTCTAAAAAATATATATATATTCATAAGCCACATTTGACATCAATTTAGATCACCAAAATAGGTTGCAAATAAGATGAATGACATATAATAAATATGTTTATTGAATAGCTCAATATTTTCATATATAAGCAATTGTAAAACAAAATTAATCCATTTTACATATAATGCGATTGAAAGAATAATCAACAAGTAAATGAATTAAAAACTAAATGTAAAAAGTCAATCAAATTCGTAAAATTCAACAACATACCTTTCCAAAATTATTAGCACCCACATAAAACTATGTACAACAAATGTAGGAAATCAAATTATGGCTTGCATTTGTTCGAAATGATGCGTAGACTTGATGTGGTTTCTTAGACAACTCTTATATTGACTTATGTTCAATTGAGACTAAAAGAAAATGACAAAAGGGCATTTCAACGGATGCGAGAATCAGGTGTGCGTCCTAACGAGTTCACCTTTGCAGTAGTTATCTCTAGCTGTGTAGGTATCATGAAAATTGATTGGGGTGAGCAATTACATGCCCACGCCCATGTTTTATGCTTGGGTCTTTTTGATTCTTTTTCAGTGGCCAATTCCATCATGGACATGTACTCCAAATGTGGGCAGTTAACTTTGGCTGCAATGGTGTTTCATGGAATGAAAAGAAGAGATATCATATCTTGGAGCATGCTATGATGAAGAGGCTTTTCAGTATATATCATGGATGAGAATGGAAGGGCCAAAATCAAATGAATTTGCCTTTGCTAGTTTGCTAAGTGTTTGTGGAAACATGGCTATTCGTGAGCAAGATAGGCAGCTTCATGCTCATGTCCTCTCAATTGGGTTCGACAATATAGCAATTGTTTGAAGTGCATTAATTACTATGTACCCAAAATGTGGGAGTATAAAAGAAGCTTTAACAATATTTGATGAGGCTGAGTATGATATTATTGTGTCATGGACGACCATGATTAATGGGCATGCTGAACATGGTTATAGTCATGAAGCCATTGATTTGTTTGAGAATCTTCCTAGGGTTGGTCTGAAAGTAAACTCTATGACCTTCATTGGTGTTCTTACTGCTTGTAGTCATGCTGGACCGATTGATCTTGATTATCACTACTTCAATTTAATGAGCAAAGAGCACCAAATAAATCCTTCAAAGGAACACCATGGTTGTATGATTGACCTCATGTGCCGAGCAGGAATATTAAATTAAGTAAAGGATATGATATAGCGTATGCCACTTCAAAGGGATGATGTTATTTGGTCAACAGTTCTTAGAGCATGTAGGGTTCATGGTGATGTTAAATGTGCAAGACATAGTGCAAAAAAGATACTAGAATTAGACTCAAATTGTGCTGGGACCCACATTATCTTGGTTGGCATTTATGCCACTAAGGGGAGGTGAGGAAAAGCAACAGATACTAAGAAGTAGATGAAATCCAAAGGGGTTATCAAAGGAGCTAGAGGATGGTCCTAGATTAAGGTAAAGGATAAGGTTACTGCATTTGTTGCTGGTGATAAATCTCTTCCTAAGGGTGAAGATATATACAGCATTTTGGATTTACTAACTTCAAGGGTAGGAGTCCCCCCTCAGGATCTGGGTTCTTTTCTAAATGATGCAAAGGAGAGTGTGTTAATGACAATATAAATAGGTTAAAGCAAATATGGGCATTATGAAAGTGTCAATCCTCACTTTCAAAATCAAATATGTGAGGGGCTTGATATTGATATTGAGATGAGTAAAGATTTGTTCATCTATTTTTGATTCAAGGAGCATTGATGATTTGTTAACCATGTATCTATTTTTCATGTGAAATTTCTACAGAAATGCACCTTGCAAATGCCAAGCGAACTAAGGCTGAAGATGCTGCTGAAGATGCTGCTGATGATGATACCCCTAATATCTCTGGCCAACAATTTGCATACTCTCATGTTTCTCAGGTTTTGCTGTTTAACTTTACTTTATATCTAGGTATTGGTTTATTTGTTTATGTTTTAATTTGAGGTGTTGATTTTTCTCTTTACCTCCTCAATTTAATGACATGTTTAGCGTTTTGGCCAATCTCCCCTCCCCACTTTTGAACCAGCTTCTAACTGGGAAAATGAGAGGTCAATGATATTTGGCTAGAGGACCCCAGTGGCCCCTGTGGTACACCATGGCAGGTATAGAATGTTACTGCTTAATTACTAAAATTACTAGTATTTCCCAACCCACTTTGGGGGTTGTTGGGATGTATTTTCAAAAAATTTGTTGTTAGAAACAAATAATAAAAGTGTTTTTTTTTGAGAAAATTGGAACTATATTTGTTCATTGTTTTGCAATTTAAACTATACCAAAATAAAGATCTTTGGATGAGGGAAGACCCTTAATATTACCGGTCTATCCTTCATTATAGGATTCATATTTTGCTATTTAGTATAGTTTGAATTGTAAAACACTCTTTTAATAATAAAATACCAAAACAATATTTTACCTTTAATAATCTACATTAAATAATGAGAATATCATTAAGTAATTTGTGGACTATACACTACCCTCTTTATTATTCTTAAGATATTACTTTAGATATCACATAAATTTATATAGCTAAAATAGAGTAAATCCCTATTTTACTGCATTTTTTTAAATACAATCAAAATCTATTGTATTTAAAAATAAAAAAAAACTTATTCATGCTAACATGTACTTTTTTTTTTTTTGTAAACAATAAGAATAAAAAAAAGTTGTTATATAAAGTAATATTACACTTAAATACAAATGAAAAGGAACATTTAGCTAGATCACAATAAGTGATTTGTGAAACAACAGTGAGGGGCTAAAAATGAAACTTTGATGGTGGGGTTGGAGTGATATGATAGGTGAAAGATTATAATGATTAAAAAATACATCAACTAAGAAAAAAAGTGAAGGGCATTGAGGTATCCAATTTCGATAGATTGTTAAAAGATAAAAATAGATTTCATAATTTTTTTTATGTTGAACTCTACTTTAAAAAATCAAAAATAAAGACAAAAAAATAATGAACCTTTAATGGAACTTGTGACTTATGAGACACTCAAATAAGAGATACAAAATAAAAAAGTGAATGATAAGAGAGTTAGAAGAGAGGGACCAAATAAGAGAGAGATGAAAAGAAATAAAGTAGGTGTTGTGAGAGAGAGAGAGGTGGACTCAAGTATTTTATTTTTAAATGTTGAGATTAATTAGTTTGTTTTGGATCAATATCTCACTCAGTATGATATCTTGTCTGTTGGGATGGGTGGCCTCAGTGGTTTGAAGATCTCTGTGAAAGTTCTGTCCCTTTCATTTCAAGCCGGAATTGTTGGTTACTGTTCTTTCCCTGTTATCCACAAGCTGCTATAGCTTTGTAATGTTAGGATACTGCTTTATTTCATTATTTTTTGCAGTTATAAGATTTTTGACCTAGTTCCCTCTATTTTTCTCAGAGACATTCTATGGTACAATTTGCTTGTACAATAGGGAAAGAAGAGAAAAATTGTCAGAAGATTTCCATTTTAGTGTTCTACCAAGTGAAATGCTGGATGTAAGCCCTAAAACTAATTTAGCTTTAAATTCTCTAGTCTTTAAATTCTATGGTGCCTTGGTTTTTCCTATTGATGACTTAAAAATTCACTTTTTCTCATTTATCTGGATACACTAAAGTACCTTCAGAACCTCATGGACTTTTTCTTTTCAGATGCTCCGTCGGCTTCTGTATGTCTACTAATCCAATTAGAGAAGCTTGCAACAGAAGAAGGGGGGATGACTCCTTCTGTTTATTCACGTAATGGACCTGAACTTATGTTTTAATCTCGTTCATCTTCATTCCAACCTCTGGTTAAATGTGACAAAATTTCAATTTTGTTGGCTTGTTTGTTATCTGTCAGCAAGAATTTAAACTATCGGCCCTCATTATCTGCTTTTCAATTGGTTTTTAGCGTAGTTCTTACTGTGGAAAATAATGGCTCTGCATGCAATTAATGCTTGGTATTGTAGTTTTTGGGCCAGGGTAATTAAGTATTAGCTGAGGGCGTGAACAATTTGGTCTCTTCTTTGCTTTTTTTTTTTTTTTTTTTTTTCATCAAGATAATTGTGAAAGTAGTAATTCTACAATGGAGTTTCATCCATTTTCATTCATCTATGGTCCTTCTTCTGCACATTAGCATGCTTTCTTTAATCTATCATTCTTAACAAACGATAATGACTTCTAGTTTGCTCGCATTAATCCTTTTGTTACTCTAATGTTTTGTGTCAAATGATTATGAATTTGTTACTCATAGGTGATTAGAATTCAAGATTTGGGTACCTCTAGCTTTGGTAGGAAGGGATATTTATTTCTCAGAAATAGGCGTTGGGGGAGCTTCCTCCTAATGGGGTCCAATGCAGCTAGATTCCTGATTAATTAGGATTTAATGTGGTTACTGGATATCGGGTGTTAATATCGAAAAAAAGAAATATTAATCCACCAGAGTTACGTGAACAATGACAAATTGGAGCTGGTTGGTATAGTGGTTTGAAACTGGTAGTTAGTGGTTTCATCTAATCTAACAATTGATAATTGTTATTATTAATAATTCAAATATTCTTATACATAGAATTAAATGAAACCGTTAACCACTACTTTCAAATTGCTATACCCCCTTTAAGAGAGAAAGAAAACAAAGCAAAAAAAAAAAAAAAAATCTTGGGGATGCAGCTGTTGTGGATGTGATCTTACATTGTTACATTGGATGATAATTAACAAACTCTATAAATAATTGAAACTATGTCAGTTAAGAATTGTTGCATGTGTGAGGCAACATAGTTTTGGCTATTGGAATCTGAGGACGGTAGATCTTAGGCCCCTAATGTTGAACCGAACATCAAGTTTGTTGTAGGACACTCCTAATTTTTTAGAGCAGATGAAAGCTCGAGGAAAATGAATATGATTTTGATTAATTTTGGTAGTTGTATGGTTTTTGACTATTGTTATTATTTAATGATAATCATTTCTAAGGTATTGCACATCTCAGCCTTTGCATTGTCAAATAAATTCCTTCTATTTATTTTTGTTTTCTATCTTCTCCTTAACAGGTGCACTTGATTGAGAGAGAAAGGCAGACTGCAGTTGTGGTCTCGAATTATGCCTTACAGAGAGTCCTTCGCCTGGGCTATTGTTCCTTTATTTGATAATAGCATTGGTGCAGCTTCTGGTGGATCTGCTTCTCCTAGTAGCCCTCTTGCTCCCAGCGTGACTGGGTCAAGTTCCCATGAGGGTGTCCTTGTGCCTGTTGTAAAGATTACATTAGATGGGAAGATGGGTTATTCAAGCGGAAGCTCTTTTGTTGTTGAAATATCTAACTTGCATAAAGTGAAAGAAAGCTATACTAAGGTGTCACTTCAAGTATAATGGACATCTAACCTTGTTTATTTGACATTCTAGTTGGTTTCTGGCTTTTATTCTGTATGGTTTACAAAGATCCATAGAAAACTAGTTGAAGTCCTTCATTTCCTCCATCCCAATATGTATAATTTTGATTTCTTATAAGGTTTAATGGAGTCATTAGATGACAATATAAACTGGCTTCAGGTATGTTAATGGAGTCATCCTGAACCTAAGCCACAAGGAGAGGATGAGGAAGGGGTAGAGGGTAGGTGAAGCAGTGGTAAATGGACTTATTGCATGTCAAATGTAATCATATGTCAATGAGTTAGCTAAACTTCTGTAGGTTTCTGTTCATTTGGGGCTTTACATTTTTGTGAGACAAATAATGATGTAATTGTAGCTTGTGAACCAAAATTTTAGAGTTGGTGCTATCAACTTATGGAATACTTCATCAAACAATAAAACTTTATAACGTTTCTTATCTGCCTTTGTGATTAAGATATCTTGGTTGATAAGATACATGGAGGGGGCCATTTGTGAGGTATTTGCAAGAATGATCCTGTTATGCCACTGCTTTAGCAAATGTGCGTGCATTAGCATGATAAGTGAAAGGGAGCTGGTGACTCTCAATGAGGGTCTACTTGGCAGAGCTTATTCTCCAGTGCCTTTTTCCTTCTTTTTTTTTTCGTTTTTCTCACAAGTTTAAAAAAGTATTGGAGGGAAACACTACTTTTTAGCATTCAAAATGCTCATGACGAAAGCAATTGCTTATTAAAAATCCAAAAAACTGTGCCAAACACCCTCTTAGAAACCTGTTAATTGTAATTAGCTAGAGAGTAGAAGTGTAGAACAGAAATACAGAATGCAGAGAAGAATAAAACAATGAAGAATATTAGGCTAAATGAAGAAGATACAATTAAGGGAGGTCAAAGAAATGCTGATAAAAAAGTAAGGTTGAAGAAATGAAGAATCTGAAATGATCTGTAGATATTTTGTGAGCATGTATCTTTTTTTGAGTATAGAAAGGCACATAGTTACCTCTTTCACTAATTAAAAGCATTTATATATATATATATATATATATGTATGTATGTATATTTTCTAGAGTAACCAGTACAGCATCTTCTGCCCCTGTTTTCTCTTGGTCATCTTTTTTCCTTAATTATACTCTTATCATTTATGCTGCAATGGCTTCTTCTGATTTTCTGCTTCACTCTGTGCTTTTTTTTTTTTCTGTTCTTTTCTTTATTTATTTCTCATAATAAGATCCCAAATGCAAGGTCCATAAACCTGTGAAAGATGTTTTAAGACTTGAAATTGAGAAGCACCAGACATTTAATGCGGAGGTGGAAAATATTTCAGAAAGTGCCAGCATGATTAATGAATCCATGGACCCAGGGGATCAAGTTGCTGATGCAATGTTTATAAAGAGCCCCAGCAATGGTTCTGATGGGCCTCGGCGTAGCAATTCCAAGTGGATTCCTAATGATGAGAAAAATGCATCTGGAAATGGAAACACTCATGGATATCCAGATCTCAATGTTGATGTAAGCAGAATGCCTTTACTTGCCTTCCTTTTATATTTTATTTATGTTTCGGCTGCTTATTTGCATGGCTGATAGGAGACAACCAGAGAATTTTTCTTGTTCTGTAATATGGTTGCCTTAATTTTTGCTTCAATTTTGAATGGATAAATGCCTGAATTAGCTTGGAACAAATTTATCTATCTGCATTGTGATGCTGGCTATAACCTTGTCACCATAAGATATATTAAGTCCATAGACCAGAGAATGAATAATTGAGGTGAGGGGTTTACAACATGAATTATGGAAGCAGTTAATGTTGCTCTTGGCCATGAGTAGTTTAGATCAAATTACTTCTTGAAAAAGAAAAAATTTGTTTCCCACAGGTTTTATTTGATCCCTGTCAATTTTTTTTTTTTTAGTCTTTCTTCTGCTATTATTTTGTTTTGGTTCTTATGGTAGTACTAGCTTTCCATCTTTGGTATAGCTGTTCGAAGTTATATCCAGAGGCTAATTTTTTGTGCTCCAAAGATCAAAGATACCAATTTTCTGGGTTTTGGCGAACCCTTAATTGTCTTTCAAATCATTTCCTGTCATCCCCCTACTTGATGATGCATATGAAAGAGCAGGGGCATTCTTTCTGTCCCTCTTGATTCAATTCCATATGGCAAGGGGCATTTAAATAATGAGAATTGCATTTTAAAGTAAAGTCGATGTACCTGAATTCTATTCAATTAGACATAATTTTCAACTTGCATGAAAATTTAGCTGAGGTTAATTGAGAAATTTGTTTTCCAGCCATATGCTAAACGTGGTGTAATGATCTTTATATGGATGTTGCTTGTCCAAGCAAAAATCCTCTCAAGAAGGGTTAAACGTGTTGCAGCTATTCTTTCTTTGATGTTTGAATTACTTTTACCAATGCAACTTTGCTTTTATTTGTGTGAAACCTGTTTACCCTTAATTAGTTTCTTAATGTTAACCTGCAGTTCCAGGCATTTGACTTTCAGACAACTTAGAGAAATGAACCATTCTTGCAGCTTTTTCATTATCTATATGTATATCCTTTAACTGTGAGTTTGAGTCAGAAAAGGAATCTATTCGTAAGAGTTTTGCTGAGAAAGGATGTTGCAGATGTTCATAGACAACCTTTAGAGGTAAAATTGTTGATTCATATTTTGCACTATGATTTTTAAACTTAAGTCTTGTGGTTCTTTCTGTGCTACTGATATGACGAGGCAATGTATCCAAGGGAACCTGGTTTATCACTACAAAAGTGGGCTCGCATGCAAGTTGCTGTTGGTGCTCAGGTGGCCTGCTACCATGATGAAATTAAAGTCTCTCTCCCGATTGTTTGGACATCATTGCATAACCCTCCATTCACTTTCTTCCATGTTGATCTCCATATGAAACTAGAAGCTCCAAAACCAGAGAGTGCAATATGATGCTGTTTTCTTTTTCCTTACATTTGAAATAATACAAAATCATCTAATCTTCATCTTAGTGGTTGTATACTCAATGTTTAGTGGTTCGGCCTGTTTCGCACTCCACTCATTCTATCTTATATTGTGCTCCTAAGTAGTTCTGTTCTTTTATTTGGCAGGTAGTAATTGGATATGCAGTGCTTCCATCATCCACTCATGCACAGTATGCAACTGCCTTTTTATTTGTCATCTCTTGTTTCGTTTCTCTTTTTGATGATATATTAAACTATTAACTAAAATTAATTGTTCTGCTACTAGAGTGATTGGTATTGCAGTTCATGGTATTGGAAAGAAACTGGGGACAGAAATATAATCACCTGTTCGGTATTTTAGTAGTTTGTTAAGGTTCAGTTAGTTATCATTTCAATTCTCAGGTTACTTTCATGGTTCATATTGTGGGTAATTGGATGATATCAATGTGAGTCTTCATTAACCCTGTGAAATGCTACCCTGTTTATTCAGATAAATTTGAAAAAATTTTGTTAAACTTAAAAACAATAGAAATGGTATCTTGTCTTAGTGTATGAAGTTATCAAACAATAAAAATCATATATCCTTTATACCTAAAGAAATTCAGTATTTTGGTACAAGTCGCACTTGAGTAGGGTCCAGAGAAGGGTCGAATTGGGAACAATTTCATCCTTTAGCATTTTTTCCTAAATCAGTTGCAATTTTGACTTGATAACGAGACTAATAATTATATGCTTCAAATAATGACTTTTATTCCTGATGAAAGTATGATTAACTATTGACATTTATAAAATTATAGGTTTAAGAGTTGTATTTTTTTACAAGTAATTTCATAATTATTCATCTTATTTATATTGTGTAAATTTTTTATAACTGAAGGTTTGATTATAAAATGGAGAAAATTAGAAAAAGGGATTTAAATGAAAAGAGCTAGAAAGATGAGGATCCAAGGATTAAATTTAAAAGTTTGAAGGCTCAAGTGGGATTTTCTCCGTTTTTGATTAAGCGCAGAATTTCGTGAAGTCGGTGACTAGCACAAAAGGAAAAACAGAAGCATGCAGGGTTCCGCACTCTGGATCAGGTTCCAACCCTTGGTCCATGTTGCACAAAAATAGAATTATGTAGGGTTTTGCACCTTGGATCAAGTTCCAACCCTGTTCGATAAGATTGTGTGGGAAGAAAAAGAATATATTTTCTCAAGGATGTTATTCTAGTTATCGAATACTTTTATTTTATTTCCAATATAAATAAAAGTAGTTTAGCATCTAGAGAAGCCATTTTTAGGTACATATTATCTTCTTTTTATTAGTGCCAGAGAGTTTTGTGGAGGTACAGCTAAACTTTCAATAAAATTAGGAAGAATTTTGATTGAGGAGTTTGACTTATTATTTTATTTTGATTTCTTTATAAATTTTATTGTTTCATTTTATTTTTGAGAGATTATTAATTATTTTTGGATTTGAAAACTTTAAAAATTATATTTATCAAATTTTATA